GGATATTTTATTATATATTTTTTGAAGTTATTGTGAATGGGATTTTTTCCTTGATTTCTTTCTAGGTATGCTCATTGTTGGTATATAGAAAAGCTACATATGCGTGTTTAGGGTATTTTTTAAAATATATTTATTTTATTTTATGTGTGTGAGTGTATTGCCTGCATGTATGTGAGTGCACCCATGTCATGCAATGCCACTGAGGTTAGAAGAGAGCTTTGAATTCCCCGGAACTGGAGTTAAGGATGGTTTGTAGCCGCATGTAGGTACTGGGAGCCAAACCTGGATCCTCTATAAGAGCAGTGAGTGCTCTTAACCACTGAGTCATCTCTCCAGCCCGAGAAGAGTCTCTTTTTATCACATCCCTGCCATCTAAGCCTTGCTCCTTTCTTGGTGTCTCTTAATTACAGTTTGTAGCATTAAGAACACTGGAAGTTTTTTAAAAGTTTTTTTAATTCTTTTTTTTTTTAAATTAATTTATTGTGTGTGTGTGTGTGTGTGTGTGTGTGTGTGTATGTATTTCATATAGAACATCCCAAACAATCTTATTCATCTTTATACCCACATCCCAAATGGCACCCTCCCATAATCCCCCCAACAATGAAGCCCTTATACTCTGTCATCCCTGTTATTATCCACTGTGTTGTCAGTGCCCCAGCCATTCCCCAGTGCAAGTCCATCCGTTGAGTCTAGTCAGCCTATCTAGAGTCCCTTGTTTTAGGAAGAGCAGCTCTTCCTCATCTAGCAGCAATCAGCTGCCAACATTTCTTTAGATAAGATTGGGGTCTGCTGTTCATTTTCCCAGTTCTGTGCTGGGTTACTCTCTGGGAGTCTCTTGGGTCACCCTAGCCAACAACTCAAAGGAATGTATTTCCTGTCTGGCATTGTTTCTTGTTATGTAGCCTTTAGCTATACACATGGACTCTTAAAGAAATATACTGATCACTTTAATCTTTGGTTATACTTTCCTTTTGGGTGTTTAAGACCATATATAGTTGGCCCAAATAAACCAATTTATTTTTACTTTTTAAGGTCGTTTGAGGATCTGTTCCTCAGGGGTCACATAGGCTTGGGAGGAGCTCCTGGCTCCTTTCTTTTACCATATATGTGAAGATTAGTCAAAGGTCCTGCTCAACTATAGCTGGCTTCACTTGGAAGCATGGAGGAAATGGTTCCTCTGTGTTGACCCTCCTCTTTGTAGACTGGACACTGGTTCAAGTCCATCTGGTGGGGTCTCCATGGCCTCCTTGAACAAGAAGACAGGTGACTCACCACAGTTACAGGACATTTTGAGAGATGCTCCATAGTCCCCTGGAACTTAGTTGACCATGGAGGGCAAGGAGCAAAAAATGTCCTTTATTTTTCTTCTCTTGGTACCCCAGACATCTGAACTACCCTCTTGGCCCAGGCTTCACACTGCTTCCTCATCCTTTGCACCCAGACCAACCCAAGTCCTCAGTCTAGTCCCCTGGAGCCCTCAAAGCCTGTTCCCTCCCCCACCTCACCTTTGCATATCTGAGGCCAGCATCTTTCCTGGGTAAGTTTGACCCTGCCCACTGTGCCTTGACTCCCACAACCTCATTCACCCTCCCAGCTCCCCCACTCCATCTTTTCTCCTATTGTGGGCACTGACCCATTTCTTTTCTTGGCACCCAGACCTCTGGACTACCCTTTTGGCCCAGACTCCCCACTGCTTCCTGATCCTTTGTGCCCAGACCAACCCAATTCCTCAGTCTAGTCCCCTGGAGCTCTCAAAGCGTGTTCCCTCCCCTACCTCACCTTTTCATATCTGAGACCAGCCTTCATCCCTGGCTGTCCCACTCCCAACCTGGATTCCTGAGACCAGCCTCCTTCCCTGACTGCCTGAGAGTCCTGAATCTTACCTCTATCTGGCAATCCTCCCAAATTGCACTGTGCCTGCTGACTAGAGGAATCCATCTGGCCCCTCCAATATAAAATCAAAAAAGAGAACCTGAACCCTAGACCAACCAGCTTCTCATGCCCAACAAGTAAACCACAAAGGCACATAAAGGTTACAAACAGAAGTAGACCTAAACTCAACAAAGGAAGGCTTGAGTCTCACACAAGAATCAGAAACTACAGAAGAAATCCACATGTCAGAGTCACAGTGAAAAAGTAATGACATGAAAAATCCAAATAATATATCCCCACCAAATATCAACAGTCCTTTAGAGGAGTACAGTGAGAACCCCCTATAAACACAGGACATGGAATTCAAAAGGACAACTATAAACATGATAAAAGAATTCAGTGAATTTAAAGAACACACAAAGAAATCAAAGAACTGAAAGAAGATAGGAATAAACTTCTGAATGAATTCAGAAAAGAGTTCCTAATGTTGAAGAATATGCAGGCTGAAATGAAGAAGGAAGTGAAACATTCAATAAGCCAATTAGAAATGACAGGAGAAAGCCTCGCCAATAGGATGAATGAAATGAAAACAGAATATCAAGTCTGGATGAACTAGATTACTCAAGCAAAGATTATGAAAAATTTAAGAAAACACAAGAATGGAATATACAGGAATTGTGTGACACCATAAAAAGACCAAACTTATGCATCATAGGCTTACAAGAAGGAGAAGAATCTTCAGGATAACGTTATGGACCAGATCTTCAACAGGATTATAGAAGAAAATTTCTAAAAATTAAAGAAAGACATGCCCATACAAATACAAGAAGCACATAAAACACCAAATAGGACCAGAAAAGAAACTCTCCATGGTACATCATAGTAAAAACACTAAACATACAGCTCAAAGAGAACACTGAAAGCTGCAAAAGAAAAACAAGTCACATATAAAGGAAAGCCCATCAGAATTAGAATCACAGCTGACTTTTCAGTGCAAACTATGAAAGCTGGAAGAGCCTGGACAAAGTATTCCCAGTTCTACATGACCACAGATACCAACCCAGATTACTTTACCCAGCCAAAATATCTATTTTAAATTATTTTTATTTAATATGTATGAGTGGTTTGCCTGTATGTATGTAGGTATAGCATGTGTGTGCAATACCTGCAAAGACCAGAAGAGGGCATTAGATCCTCTGGAACTAGAATTACCAATAGTAGTTAGCTGCCATATATATCAGTTCTGGGAATGAACCCAGGTGCTTTAAAAGAACAGCAAGTATTCTTACATGATAAGCCATCTCTCCAGTCCCCACCCCCTTTTTTGGCACTGGAAAAATTTTGCAGATTCATATTAAACCCTAGGGCTTGTGAAGACTTGAATTTTTTTTTTTTTTTTTTTTTTTACTATTTTTGACCCTAACCAAAAAGTCCAGAAACCATGGAACGTCTTTTAATACCATTTAGAGTTTGGCAGCAAGAATCAGAGCCCTGTGTATATCCCCAAGGACGTGCAGTATACTTTGAAAGTATTCTTCCCTTCTGTTCTTAATCAGCAATGAAGCTCCCCATGGCATCTCTGCAGCGGACACAGGCGCATAGATGCAGGAAGAGGGACAGAGCACACACACACACCTCTGCCCATCATGGGGGCAACACAGTTATTCCCAGGAGTAGTTTATTCATGCCTTAAAAGTGTCTCTCCAGTCCCTGTATGTACTTTTTAGAAATCCATACATAGCATGCTTCTCCTGTAATCAATTGTTAAGGCAAGTTTCTGGACCATCAACACTTTTTAACTTATGAACTGGTGAGACGTCAAAAGGGGACAGACTGAAATTGACACACCATTCCTCTCAATGCCACTTCAGAGACCACTGAGTGACTGTTGTGTGGAGTGTAACAGACTTCCACTTCTGTAAGTGATGCCTGTGTTGCTCCAGCATGGGTTCTTTTGGAATGTGAGTTCTTCTAGTTGAACAGCAAAAGTTGCCTTAGAGAGATACCTGTGGGAGTGCTGTTCTTGGACCTTCTGGCGAGAAGTTTGAATTTCCTCCTTCCACTCCCATAGATCTGCTTGTTTTGCTAGACAGTTTCACTTCTGTTTTCATGCCATGTACACACACATGATCTTACTAGAAATCCTGGGACACAAATGAGAGGAACATAAAGTATTTACCTTTCTGAGACTGATTTAATTAGCTCAATGGGGTTATCTCCAGTTGGCATCTGTTTTCCTGCACCTTTCTTTAAACAGTGTGTGGGTACATAGATTAGGTTAGCTATATTAAAGCACTCCCTTCTAAGGGTAAAAACAGTTGCATCTGAAGCTTACAATTTCATATGATCTTTCTTGAAAAACAGAAAGAATGAATATGGAGGCACATAGTGATTTTAGATGAAGAGTCTATTGGTGTCACTGTTTTCTTTTAAATAAAGAGGTGAGAGAAAATAGATGATCAGCCTACAGATATGAATTCTAGCAGATGAAAATTTGTTAGAATAAGGATGCTGACATCATTTGCTCTGGGAGTAATTTCCCTTAATGGCATATAAATTCTCTTGGATTAAATCCACAACTACTTAAATTGATTTCAAGTATAGAAAAGAGGGAAAGCTACTTATTTTGTTGTATGAACTTTTCTGTCTCTGAATCAACATATGATAACAGAAGATAAGAAACCGTGGGTGATAATTAAGGAAAAAGCTTAGCAACATTTGCTGGAATTTTTTTTTTTTTCTATTTTGAGACAGGGTCTCACTTTGTAGCCTTGGCTGGCCTAGAACGCTCTATGTAGATAAGCTGGCCTTGAACTCACAGAGATTCACTATCTCTACCTCTCAAGTGCTGGGATTGAAGGTTTGTGCCACCATGTCCAGTCCTTACTGGAATCTGACTGTAAAGGATGAATCAGGCAAAAGTCCATTTGTTTCCCAGAACTGATGCCTTTTTATAGGGTTTATATACACCTAAAATTGAGAGAAATCTTATTGTGCCACTTTTTTTTTTTTTCCACTCTGAGGTCTCAGCTGAAACATACTTCATTCAGGTTTCCTAGCACCTTCTTAGTTGCCCTAAGTGATTCCAACAGTCCTGGTTTCATCCTTCTTTTTTGAATCCAAAACAGATCCCTAAAGAAGTAGCTGACATCTTTAATGCCCCAAGTGATGATGAAGAGTTTTTGGGTTTCCAGGATGATGTTCCCATGGAAACCCTGTCAGAAGAGAGCTGCGATAGTTTTGACTTCTTGGAGTTGGAAAAACAGGTATGGGCGCCCCTTCTCAAGTCAGGTGTGGTCCTCTGGAGGCCTGATTTGGTTTGAATGTTCTTTTGTATTGGTGCAGTTCAGGATTGGTAATACCAGTGAGTTGTTGGGCACTGTGTGTTAAAAACATGGACCTTTATGTTTCCAGAAACTGGTGAGAGGTCACAGTGCATGTATCTTACTTTAATCTTGGTCGTGTATACTTTTCTTTCTTTCTTTTTTTAATGAAGAGACTCACATGATTAAATCCATTTTCTTTGCTCCCTCCAGCTGTCACCTGTGGTAAGGCTGTATTCAGAATCCTCCCACACAGCTGGCAGGGGAGGGCTAGCCTTATTCCATGCTCCCACGCAGGCGATGCTGTGAGGCACAGGAAAAGTGTTTTACTATGAGACAATTGCCTCGCAGTGGTCCCTCGTGAGGGTTTGTTACCCCGCTTTTGGAGTTGCTGGGGTGAACATTGTTCTTTTATTACTTTGGTTTGTAGCAATACAAGTTACGGTTCTCTGGGAGTTAGATTTCCTGGAGGTTTATATTGTACCCTGGCACTACAATGGCCAATCAGAATATCCAGCCTCCAGTGACATATTCTTCTGAGTTCATTGTGACACTTAAGAGTCTTCATTCTCCTTCCACCATGGCCTCTACCAACAGCTGTGCATTAAATACAACCTTGCTTCAAGTGGGTAAATCCAGGAAAGGAAATGGTTAATCTGTGAGAGAGCCTGGCTCTACTGTAAGTGTATAGAATCTGGCTTTGGTGGGAGCTGGGCCTCCCAGGGTCTCTCTGGTCCATGTTTTCTCAGCACTGCCCTGGTCACGTCTTCCCACCCCTGTCTCCTCTGTTACCTTTTGCTCTCTGTTGTTAGCTCTTCTTTTTCATGTTCCCAAATGGGAAGTTCTGTAAGATTTTTGTCCTCAACCTTTGTGTTCTGCGATTGCGTTGAGTCCTGTTAGTAGCTGATACCATGTGGTGGTTTTAAGTTTTTACAGTTTATTAATCTCCTTAGGAATTTGTACCTCAGCAGCAGATCAAGTCAGAACAGAGCTCCTTGTGCTTTGTGCCAGCACCAGCACTGGCCTTTGCAGGCCCTGGGTTTCTTCACCCCACTTTGGCATTCCTTTCTCTGTTTGCATGGTCTTGTGCAGGCCATGTCTTATGATTCTGTCTGGTCTCGTGTTTCTTTGCATAATCCAAGGAATCACAAATCATACTAAAACCACCATGAATGGGTTCTGAATCTAAATACAAAGTTGATGTTTCGTATGGTCTTGTACCTTTTGGCTGGTTCTTCTTGAATTTCTGTCTTAGGTACTGTTGCTTTCTCAAGGTAAAGGGCATCAATGATCATTTGTTTACTCTGGAAGAGTCAGTTGGTCATGGACTTCCTGGTGCAGATAGATACAGTACCATTCATGGTGGTGGTGGATCCAGTTTTTGATGAGCAGCCTGGCCTCTTGTCCCTGCTCCAGATGTATTTCTGACAGTCAGTTGGTCTGGTCCTGGTTTTTCAAAGGAGAGCTGAAACTCAGCACTTGCCCTGCCTGCTTGCTGTTTGCACCCCCTCTTTATTTCCTTCTGTTGTTGTTGTTATGTATCACCACCTCCTCTCCTCCATTTCTAGCACCCAGGAGTGGCTGAAATTGTTTCCAGGTTACTTTATTCATTCCTTACCTTTTCTCCCATCTGTAGCTGCCCTCACCTTCAGCCCTTACCCAAATCCTCTCATTTTCCTGCTGGGATTCCTTGAAGGGCTGAGCTCAAGCTACACCCTGGCCTTTATTTAGAAACTATCAATCTTTCATTGCATGGTAGTCAGAGGGCGAGTAGAGCCTGTGCCATCCACCTAAGGGACCTTGAAGTAGAAGGCATGTGAGATACTGGGCTTGGGGCCTGGCACATGCTAGGCATTGAGAAACATCTGCTTTTGCTGCTGTGACCACTATTTCCAGTCACTTCTGTCCTTGCAGGGGCTCCTAGGCAGCTCTACCCCAGCAGATCTTGATTGGCCATGAGAGCGTGCTGCTTGCTTTTCATACAGACAACTGTATTTACTCCATAGACTTCTGGGGCTGGTGGACGTGCTGTTGCTGTTCTCATTTTACAGATGAAATGGAAGCTCAGGGAGGTGAAAAGACCCTGCTAAGGTCCCACATGTATGGATGCTGTCAGTCCACGCTATGATTTCTCAGCTTCCTTTTCCCTTGGCTTTCTCATCTAGCTCTTGTGATGCATAGCATAAATGCTGGGCTGACTCCCTCACTACAGCCACTCTGCCCTGACCCGTGCTGGATGGATTCCTTCGCCCCCTGTGTGATGGAGTGTATGTGTCCATCACCATGGGTACTTAATGGACCTGCCTGTCCCCCTCTTGGACTGTAAGTTGCTTGAAGGAGGAAATCATCCTTGCAGGGTGCTTTCTAGTTTCCATGGCTCTAACCTCTTGTTATGTTGTCCTTTTCGTATTGTTCCAAGTACCCAATACTCCATCACTATACAGAGTTAAGTACCCAGGGTTGTTTGTGGGGTACAGTTGAAATATACCTGCCTCATTGGTTTGGTTCACAGGCCATTGCTTTCCAGTACTTTTTCGTGTCACAGCCTCAAAATAAAACACTTACCCACCTGTGACACTGCCCCTGCAGGCTGTTATTTACGTGTAGTGTTGATCATAGTAGATATTAGTTACCTGGCGTTGCTTTGGCGGATAATGAGCAGCTTCCAGGGAGCAAAGTACTGTGTGAGGCTTTACCCAAGAATGCAGTGAGGCTATGCAGTGGCGAAGCTTTGTATAACCCATGTGGAAAACAGTTTTTACCCCCTTTGGAGTAAGAAAAATAAACTCATAGGTCTCAAGACTAGTAGCAAAGTTATTTTAATTCCACCAGGACTGGTCATCAAAGATTTGATTTCTCCTACAATAAGAGATTGCCAGAAAGATTGGAATTTACTATTCTCTTTCAGGCTCTGTACAGGAGCTTTGAACATAGATTGAATGTATGCATGGAGGCCATTGCCCTGAGAAAGCCCTCAGGGGCTGGCCAGATGTTTCCTGCACTCCATGCTTGGTGGGTTTCCTTAGCAGGCAGCTGCCTGACCCACACATTTCTGATCCATTCTGTATAGCCGAGAGAAGCAAGCGGTGTAAATTTGCACACCTTCCTTAAACAAAATTTGAATTTCTCTTTAAAGAAACTTCCCTTTTGTGTGTGTGTTTTTTTTCAAGCAGCTGCACCATAGCTATCAACAAAGGAACAAAGTAATTTAGCTCTGAGCAAACTCACTCCAATTACCCATAATAATTCATAGGAGACATTTTTAAGCTTCAAAGAACGCTAGCTGTAGGCTTTTCTTTTCCTAGCACCCCGTAAGTTTTTCCATGCATCTATTATATCTATTTTTTCCCCCAAAGATATCTGAGCCTGAAGAAGTATATAATTAAAGTCAGGGAAAGGCAGGGAGGAGGGAAAGAATTTCAACCAAATGTGGTGTTATAAGGGGTCATTGATTTATTGGAGTGAGGGACATCGTGTTGTGTCATGGGGAAACCTGGGACACAGATTAAGGCCTGGATGAAGTGTTTTGGCCTTGCCGGAGGCTGCCAGAGTGGTCTCCCTTCTGGTCTGCAGTTCGTTCGTCCTTCCCTTTCAGTATACTGTTAAAAGAGCTGGGTTTCCTTCTTTGTAGTATTTCAAAAGAAAGTAAAAGTCATTATTGGAAAGGTCTTTTTTTTTTTTTCAGTTTAGTCAAATAAGTCTGTCTGCTCACTTGCTACTGACCTGTGTTTGCTCACCCCTCCTTCCTGCAGGAGGGGAACTCTATAGTGAGAGGGGTGCAGCTTTCCATCATCCTCCATGCTCAGGTCAGTGTCTGGCTGTGGGTGAGGGATGTGAGGGCCCTGGTACTTCCCTACAGAGAATCCCACTGTGTGAAGGGGATGCATGCTCATCAGGGGAACACTAGTCTGGTGGCTGTAGGGAGGAAACCCTGCATGTAGGACCGAGCCAGGCTCATGTCCCCTTTCCAGGAGTTTGCAGTTTTGTGTGAAAGTAGACAGTCTGGTTGTTAGCTTTGGCAGGGGACTCTCAATGCCATCAACACTCCCCAGTCACGGTGGAAATGACTAGGGCAAAAGCGTTGATCGTTTGAAGTTGTCCTGCTTGTAGGTCTTCATTTCTGTAAGGTTTAGAAAAATGTGTGTGGTGTCTTTATTGTGGTAAAGTTCACATAATGTAGAATGTGCCACCATAACCACTCTAAGTGGCATTAAGTGTATTCACCATGTTGCTTTGCTGTCTCCACGGCCCATTTCTAGAACATTTTCATCCAGTAGAAAATCTTGTCCGTTAGACGTTAAGGCCCCTCACTCTTGCTCTCTCTTCCTCTGTAACCTCTGTTCTATTTCCTGTTCTATGTAAATATATGCTGGTGGTTGGCTTTTGAGACAAGGTCTCACTATGTAGCTCAGGCTGTCCTCAGCCATGCAAGCCTCTTGCTTCAGCTCCCACCTCCTTCCCCGGAGTGCTGGGGTTCCAAGTGTGCTGCTGCCATGTCCTACTTAAATTTGTGTTTTTAATTTAGCAGGATGTGTGTTTCCGTTCCAAATACTTCACAGAAGAACTAAGAAGAATTTTCATAGAGGACACTGACTCAGAAACTGAAGACTTTGAAGGATTCACACAGAGTGAGCTGAACACAGGCACTAACCCAGAGGTAATGGAAGCAGTCTTCAACATGAAGACTTACACGGGCTTGAGTATATTCAGTCCACTTCTCAGCCGTACTAACCCTAGAAGTTACTTTACAAAGGAAAAGACTCTGCTTTTTTTGTAAAGTGTAAGCCAGTTCATATAAAAACAGTCCTCGGGCCGGTGCCTGATCCACGTGCATTCCTTTCCTCGGGGGTCATTTGTGTTCCCCTTGGAGCTTGGGGTGCATCCCAGGTGGCCTTCACTCTGTGCATTTGGTTTATCACAGACTCTTCTTGAGCTTCTTGTATCTTTTCAGTGTTTGGGTAACCTTGAAGTTCCTTCAAGGTCTTTCTTGTGGGGTGTGAAGTAATGTAGGTCTAGAGCTAATTTGGCAAAAACAAGGTGATGGTACAGGTTTGGCAATGACCTGTGCCTTCTAATTGGATGCTGGTGTGCACCTGACTGTAACAGATGATGGGTAGCACAGTCCTGCCTAGGTTCCTGGGGAATGTCCCCTCAGCCCTGTTCTGTGAGGAGGTGTCCTTGTGGGTGTTACTGTGTTACTTGTTTATCCAGGCCAGGTAGTTTCCACACACCAGCATTTAACTCAGGTGACTTTAAAGCACTGCCTTGTTCTTGGTGTTATTCTGAAGCAAGGTCTCACACCAGAACCCAGGCTGGCCTCAAACTCCCAGCAATCCTTCAGCCTCAGCTCCGCAAGTTCTGGAATCACAGGTGTGAACCAAGCATGGATAATTGTGCTATGTTTGTCCAACAAGAAACTTGTTAGCATATTGCTGTTAATAAATTTTATTCTGGGGCTGGAGAAATGGTTCAACAGTTAAGAATACTGGTTGTTCTTGCAGAAGACCCAGGTTCAAATCCCAGCACCCACATGGCAGCTAACAACTGTCCATAACTCCAGTCCCAGGGGATCTGACAGCCTCTTCTGACCTCCGAGGGCACTGCACAACACGGACGTACTTACCTACATGCAGGCAATACACACATACACATAAAATAAAAATAAAAATAAATTTTATTCTTTTAAGATTTTACCAATTTCCCCCTTAATGTCTTTTTTTTTTTTTAAACATTTATTTTTATTTTGTATATGAGTGTTTTGCTTGCATGCATGTTTATGTTTAAGGCCCATGCATGCAATGCCTGTGGAGGCCAGAAGAGGGCCTGGAGTGATGGATAGTTGTTAGCTGCCATGTGGGTACTGGGAACTGAAACTGGGTCCTCTGCAAGAACAGTTGGTGCTCTTAATCGCAGAGTCATCTCTCCAGCCCCCTATGTTTACTTTTAAAGGGGAGGTTAGGTTCCATCTTCTCACAGTCATTAGCTCCCACAGACCCCAGGTAGAGGGACAGCAGCAGTGGCTATAGGCTTAGATTGTCCCTCCCCTTCCCTTGGGTCTCACTTAGGGCAGGAAAGCCCTGGTGGTAGGCTGCCTCTTTTGATAGTGGATGTGCCAGCCCAGCCACCCAGCTCTGTCCTGGGTTTCTTCCCAATAGTCATTTATGTGGCAGTTTGTGAGCTGAGGCCAGGAAGTCTTTAGATTTTTATTAGCAAGGCACTAAGATCCTTCCAAACCTCAATGGGAATCAACTTTCAGTAATTCCTATGACTACTTCCTTAGCTCAGTGATAGTTAGCCAATTTACTTGTATTTCTGGTGAAGGAACGTGAATTGCCTCAAACTCCTGGGATCTATATACATAGAGTATCAGCTGTGATATAGTATGTAGGGTATGCTATGATTCAGTGCAGATCTGCTTAAAAATGTTATTATAGAATACATTGAGAAAATTATGTTCTTAATCAGCTTTCCATCACCAGAACAAAGTACCTGAGATAACTAACTTATAAAGAGAAAGGCTTATTATGACTCACAGTTTTGAAAGTTTTGGTCTATAATCAGTTGGCCATGTTGCTTTGGGTCTTTCAGGTGAGGTAAGACCATGTGGTGGAGCAATATTGTTCACCTCAAGGTCAGGAAGTAGAAAACAGCAAAGAAGAGAATGGGGTTCCCATAGTCTTCATTAGGGTACACTTCTAAGACCTAAAGGCCTTCCACTAGGCTCCACTTCCTGAAGTTTCTACTTCCTGCCACACTGGTGCCATACTGGGGAACCTTTGGAAGCAGTTAACATATATACAGAAAGGAGCATTGCTGCCTCTTAGCCCAGCCTCTTGCCCAACTGCATGAAAACTAACAAGACCCTCTTTTCTAATGGTTGGATGGTACTGTAACTTTGGTTACTAGTAGCCTGCTGGCCGGATGCAAAAGAGCTACAGTCAAGGTGCTGACCTTGAGCATTTTACTTCCTCCCTTATTTCTACCTTGAGTCCAAAAAGAATGTGGGGTCACTTAGGAAGAACCAGTGTGTGGGCTGGGTCCTTCCTGTTGCTCCTCTGTTCCTGGTAACCCATGCTCAGGCCTCCCCAAGCACTGATCCCAGGCTGAGTTTCCTCATTTGGGTCAAAGAAGGGTTTCTAGGGAGCTTCCTTGATCTCACATACCTCAATCTGTCTCTGTTATTTCTCTGTCATCACATGTCACACGCCACCTTGTCACTTGGGTGACATTACCACGTTTTGTTCCCACTGTTGTCATTGGGGAGAACAAGTCAGATTTTAATTTTTCAGACTTTTAGCACCTGGAGTTTCAGGTTTTGTTGTTGAGACATTTTGAGAAGACTGAGCAGTGTCTGAAACGTCCTGAAGAGCTGTAGTACCTTTACTTCCCCTCCTAGTTGGATGGTTTCAGGAAAGGTGGGGGACTTGCCTGCACTGAGGAGCCATCGTACCCTGAAGAGAATAATCCCCCACTCACTGCTGTGACTGGTCTTCGGCCTGCTTCTTGGTGCACTGGGATTGGCATCTTTTTTTCTCACTAACACTTGGAGTCTACTGCACTGTAGGGACTCTATTCTTCTGTCCTTTCATTCACAAGCCCATTTCCTGCCATTTAGAGTAGACAGGTCACAGGTCAGTATTTTTTTCCCCCTGCCCCATTTTTATCTGGGCAGTAACTCTTGTATGGTGCACACCCTTTCCGTAGCTGTGCTTATTTCACTTAGCTTCCAGATGTGTCAGCTTGCTTGTTCCCGGTGGACGAGCACTGCATTTGTTTTGCTTCCAGCCCAGCTCCCTGAGGGCACAGTGTATCTGTGGGTGTGAGGACACATGGTTCAGTGGTAGATTGCCTGCGCTTTGATTTGCCTATCAGCAAACTTTGTGTGGGTTTAATAGAGGGAATCAGTAATAGAAAGGGGAACCAGTAATAGAGGGGAGAACTTATTTTAATACAATGACAGAGTAATTTCATTTGTTTGTGTTTTTAGTGCTGGGGATTGAACCCAGGGCCTGGCACATGTGTTGAGTATGTTCTGTACCACTGAACTGTGTTCCTAGCCTAGAATGGTTTTAAATACACAAATGCTTTGTTTTGGTAGTTGGTTATAGACAGATCTTCAGTTCCTACTCTTTTTCCATTAGCTTGTGGAGTCAGAGCTGAGTGGCAATGACAAAGCATGTGCTCTGGAGAGTGAGGAAGAGGAGGAAGGTGAAGAAGAAAAGGCTGTACCCAGAAGAGGCAGACCCACAAGAAGCAGTTTTGGTCTTCGAGTAGCCTTTCAATTCCCCACCAAGAAATTGGCAAAAACACCAGATAAAAGTAACTCTGAGCTGCTGTTTTCAAGCTCCCACTTAAAGGACAGCAAAACAAATCTTGGAAGAGAGAAGAGCTGCAGACAAGCCAAGGAAAGGGACGAGTCTGCCTCTGAATCTGAGGACGACTCCAGGGCCGAGAGCCAGGAGAATGCGGATGCTCTACTGAAGAGAACCATGAACATCAAGGAGAACAAGGCTATGGTGAGTTCCCGTAGGTGCTAGGTCTGCCTCCGCAGCTGCCCTCCGACAGTTGCTGTCACTTTGCCTTTTGGGAAGGTCTCCTGTGGGGATTGTGTGACCTTTTTCTTTTCAGAACTCAGAGTATTTATTACATGATAAGTTCTGGTTTGGGGATAGAAAGAGACTCCAAAGAGCACTTAGCTTTTCAAGGAGGCAGGACTGATGCCACTCACTGTTTAGCAGGTTGGATTCTAGGTCAGTGGAGATGCTGAGGAGGAGACAGACTCAACAGTTGTACTCTCCCCAGCAGAAAGATACAAAAAGGGGCTGGACTGTCACTGAGTCCAGAAAGAATTGTGGTGGGCAGCAGGCAGGTGGCATTTGTGTTGAAGCCAGTCTTCGCGGAGGCACCACCTGAAAGCACGAGGAGGGTCTAGCAGTTGTGCCATCAGCAGATCAACTAGGACCAGGTGCACACTTCTGTTGTGTGTGTTTCAGTTTTCTGTATGTGGTCAGTAATTTAATTTGATCTTTGAGAATCACTGTCTCCTAATTTGGCAGCAACAAAACTAAAAGAAATTCTACCAATTATGATGTTTTCTCATTTTGATGTTTTTGTTTTTCTTTAATATCTACTTTTTTTTTTAAGCATACTTTGCTGCTACTGTACGTGGGAGCCTGTGCCTAATAAATTAAGAAAACACAAAGTCTACTCTGGGAGATTTTTTTTGTTTTGCTTTGTTGTTTTGTTTTTAGCCCAAGACAAAGTATGTTTGACTAAAGGAAATTTTTAGCACTGTATCCATCTGTATATTTTCAGTAAGAACTATGTGATTATTTTTAGTGATGCCATTTATTTATATGAATCTAAACCTGAAAAAGAATCCTAATCAGATTGCCTGGTTGACATATTAGTACCTGCTGCTTGGTGTTAAATATTTGATTTTGAATATTAATGTATTAATGAATAAGGCGGTATTTACGTAGATGGTGTTTGTTTTTTGAGGCAGTGTCATGTACCTCAGTCTGGCCACAAACACCTGATCCTCTTGCTGCTACCTTCTGAGTGTTAGGATTACAAGTCTGTGCCACCCAGGGCCTAGGAATTCTTTTTATTGATTTTGGAGTTCTGTGAGAATCAGCTATTTGAGTCCTCCTTTGGACGTGCTGAAATTCAAGTTTCATTTTCGAGTAAATTGTGCTGCAGGATCACACTGCTAAAATAGTGACCAAGCCAGGATCTCACGCTCCTGGTCATGCCAGGACTGTTTCCTGTTGTCCTTGTGTGGAAGGAACACATAAAGTTGGCTCATATGAACAACGATACAGCTTCTCACCTCTGGAGATGAAGTCTTACATGTGAAGCTATTAACAGCTATAGAGGTTTAGAAACCACCATAGGAGGAAACTTGCAGATGTGTGGGTGGTGTTGGAGACCCGGATCTGGCTCCTTGACTTATGTCACATCCTTCTTTCCTTTGGAACCTCAGCTTGCTCAGTTGTTGGCGGAGTTGAACTCGGTACCAGATTTCTTCCCTGTGCGAACCCCAACCTCAACTACTGTAAGTGAAATCCTTCACAGTTACTCAGACCAATCTTGCTGTTTTGGAACTGGTTGACTTTTGTTTAAGAGGGCAACCTGCTGCATCTGTCTGTACTCTTGGTTTCAGAAGAAGAAAACAGCACGACGAGCCTTCTCTGAGGGACAGATCACAAGACGCATGAACCCGACTCGGAGTGCACGGCCCCCAGAGAAGTTTGCTCTAGAAAATTTCGCCTTCTCGGCCACCAAGTTTGCAGAAGAGTTTTATAGTTTCAGAAGAAGGAAGACAATTAATGGGGTATTGTCTCACTAATTAAACAAATTATCCTCAGTCTAAGACATGGCTTCAAAATGCCAGGGCTGGCTGTGGTGCAGTCTCTAACTCAGGAGGCCTGGCAGCAGCGGAGAACTTGCATTTCCTCCATGTTCCTGGGTGATGCTGATGCCCTTGAGAATGCATGTTGAGAAGACCCCTGGTCTAAGCCGCAGGTCACAGGGACCATGAGGGCTCAGTGGTAGAGAACTTGCCCAGGGTGCAGGAGGTTTTGAGTTTGTTCTTTAGCACTGCACTAAGCAGGAGGCAGTGACAGCTGGGGTCAACTTCATGGTTTCACATGAAGAAAAGGGCAGAGATTCCTCCTTGCTTGTCTGTTTCAGACATGACCCCATTTGTGTGCTGTTGGGAAGGAGGGAGAAACGGGAGCCATCCCATATGGGCTTGGCTGTTCAGTATGGCTCACTTGGCTCACTTTCCCGTCTTCACAAGGTTTACAGCCCGTCAGCACTGTATTGCCATGCTTGGTATGGGGCCAGGGGCCCAGCAAATGACTATATAGTAGAAAGGGACATGGTTGGCATTAGCAGATCTCTTAGAGTGTGAGGTTTTCATTCTGTCTTGAAATGTCTTGAATGTAACTTATGCCAGCTTCTTCCTTTGTGTATTTTGCAGGGGAAATGTCAGAGGTATAGACGACGTCACCGTATATCTTCTTTTCGGTCTGTAGAGGAGATCACTGAAGAAGACTTGGAAAATGTTGCTATAACTGTTCGAGATAAAATCTATGATAAAGTGCTGGTAAATGAAATCTTTGGAATAAAGAGCAAGATTCTGATTCTTATGGGGAGCCCACAACATTGATGTTTGAAGTCTTACATCATTTTTAAATTGTATCAGGTCTTACATCCCCATGTAGTCTCCCTGAGGGCTTGCTCTGAATTGTAGGGTCAAGGATCAGCTGTAACTGGGGAAAGTCAGTTTGATACAGTTTAACACAGGTCAGAAGAAAGGGCTCCCTGGGGCATGCCTATAATACTGGAAGACACATACTAGTTTAGAAAAGTATGTTTATATATAGTGTTACATTTTTAGTAATTTCATATCATGGGTAATATGCTCATAGAAATTAAGGAGAATTTCTGGTTGGTATGAAATGGGTTAAATATTCCTCCAGATGATGACATACTTATATAGAGGCTTTGTGTGCTCTACATCATTTTTATTTGTTTACTGAAGTACTACTTAAAGTAGTAAGATGTTAATTGCTGGACTTTTAAAACCAGATTTTACACTGAAGGTATACAGGTCTCCAGCAGGAGATTGGAGCCAAATTACTGCCACCTGGGGCTTGTTGCCTCTCAGTCTCTTGTCCCTCCTGAGGGTTTTGCCACCCCTGTCTCAAGTCTTTTATGGTCTCTCTTCTGCCCACCTGATTGATTCATTGCTTCTGGGCTCTCATCTGTCCCAGGGTGCTTCTCCAGCCCCAGAACTGAAGTGTTTGCAGGGGAGATTTGTCCCTGAGAACAGTTCCATGAGATTCTGGGCAAGAGGTGGTGCTTCTCCTGTATTTAGTAATGTGTGTGACGATGTCTGGCCTCTATACTTGGTGAGGATCAAACTCAGGGTGTCAGGCTTACAGGTGTTCACTTCTCCTTAGGGTAACACATGCCATCAGTGCCGGCAGAAGACCATTGACACCAAGACAGTGTGTCGGAACCAGAGCTGTGGTGGTGTGCGGGGACAGTTCTGTGGGCCGTGCCTGCGGAATCGCTATGGGGAGGATGTGCGGACAGCATTGCTGGACCCGGTAGGAGCAGTGTGTGCATTTGTTACAAACTGTATCGATGAAGGGGTCAAACCCAAAGCAGTGCACATGCAGAGTTCTCAGCACTTGACTTTCCCCTCCTACATCTTAAGACTCTGGAGGAAATGAAGCACAGTGCTTCCTTCTGGAAAGAGAACAGTCAACTAGCAGATTGGGAGAAGAGGTCAGGTTGGGTTTTCTAGTACACTCTTGGTTGTTTGGTTCTATGTGGTTGATCCTGCGCGCTTTCCTCCAGCAAAGTGATTTAGCTTCAGTTTTCTTGGCCTGTTCAGTGGGTGGTAAATCAGAGTGTTGCAGCAATGTGCTAAGTGTCTCAGGCTGCTAACACATTTGTTTAACCTTATCATTGATACATTTGCCTTTTTAAAAGTGTGTATGCATGCAACCTCAGTTGTCATTCTCATGCATCTCTTCTGCCTCCATTGAGACAGACTTCCTCATTGGCCTGTAGGTCACACATTAGCTAGAATGACTAGCCAGCAAGCCCTGGGGATCCTCCCATCTCTGCCTGCCGGCATACACCACCATACCTGGCCCTTTTCACATGGGTTCTAGAGATTGGTTTCAGACTCTCTGCTTGCAAGCCAAGTGCCTGATGGACTGAGCTGTCCCCCCAGTTCCATTCTACCTTTTTTTTTTTGTCTTTTTTGAGACTGTCTCTCTGTAGCTGCAGCTGTTCTGGAACTCACTATGTAGACCAGGCTGGCCTTGAACTCACAAAGATCCACCTGCCTCTGCCTCCCAAGTGCTGGGATTAAAGGCGTGCGCCACCATGCCCGGCCCATTCTACCTTTTAAAGTAGGTATATAACCCATCAATGCTATAGTTCCCTGTGAGGAATGGGATGACACATACTATCACTAAGTACAACCTTGACCCTGAGTAGAATGACTCTGGGGTCTGTGTTCAAGCACTTCACTATGTGATCTCTTCTGCAGCAGTCATGGGTATTTCACTGTCCCCAATCTGTAGACATGCTGTTTTGATTAAGTGATTTAGCATTAAGGTCACATATCAAAAGAGTTGAAATTCATGTGTTGATCATGTTCCAAGCCTGTGCCCTTAACATTATGGCCATGTAACATGGGTATGTGACCCACGAATCATAAAGGACCCTGAAGTTAATGCTCTTAAAAGCCTGTGTAATAACTTTAACAGCTCCCCCAAGAAGTATTAGGTCATATCTAAAACAGATATGTTTCATTGTTTCTCTGTGACATGGGGTGGTCCCTGAGAAACCTGAGAGATGATGCACTGGATAATCCCTCACACTGACAAATTGAAGGCTGCTGTGATTAGTGACCAGAGGAGAGTCTTGCCTGGCATCCCTTGCCTGTGATAATGAGAGAAATCTCTGTCATTGTCTCCTAGGATTGGATGTGTCCTCCCTGCCGTGGGATCTGCAATTGCAGTTACTGTCGGAAGCGTGATGGGCGCTGCGCCACAGGGATTCTCATTCATCTGGCCAAGTTTTATGGTTATGATAACGTTAAGGAATACCTGGAGAGGTAAATCTCTAGTGCTCTGAAGGTGGGGGTTGACTCCAGGAGACCACCTAAAGGAGCACAGCTTGCCACACCCCGATGAGCAGAGGTTGGGTGGTGTGCAGCTTGGACTAGAATGCAGAATTGTGGGCTGTGCCATTCTATAGGGAACTCTGAGTATGGCAGTGAGCTGAGCCATGCTGGCATTCTGTACTGCAAGGCACACGGAGCCAGGAGATCTGAGTGTCACTCTTAGGGGTTCCTGACCTCCTTACCCTAGAATGCTGCTTTATGTTTGCCTCTGATTAACTGTTTAAAATGCTTCTTTTTTTCAGCTTACAGAAGCAGCTGGTAAATGATAAGTAAGAGGAAAAAAACCCGGCCAACTTATCAGAGTACTCCAACAAGACATGTATACCATTTGTGCCTAAGACTTAGAGCTATAGAGAAGTTTGTTTTGTAGAATTTACTGTTTCTAAATACTATTTTTTAAAAAATGTTTATATGCTTAAGATTTCTTAGGAAAATAACAAGGCAGAGAAATATGCACATTATACAAGTATTTGCTGAAGGTTTAAAAGCACAATTTAAATGGGGCAGAGTTAAAGCTCAGGTAAGTTACAAAGACTTTGTATAACCAGCTCTGGCCTTTGTTGTTCGCATCCCAGGCAGTCAGTCTAGGCCATTACTTTGCCTTCTCCTGGTGACCTTAGCTACAAGGCCATTATTGAAGAATGTTCCTCTAAATTACAAAGTGCAATTAACAACAATGTGTTTGTAGGGTTTCCTTTCTATTAAAACTTAACAAAAATGGACCATCAAGTTATAGACACTGGAGGCCTAGCACGCCTGCCTCTTCTTTCAGGGCCTGCCTGAAGCCTGCTGCTTCTGTTTTGAAAGAATTTAAGGGCTGATTTTTAATTTAAAAATATTTTGCTGTTTATAAGAATCCCTACTGCATTGTTTTTTAGGTTATGTTTAGTGAAACATAGGAGCCAGGGGCCATGGTGTTTCATAGGGTTATGGGGGAAGCAGAAATCAGTAAGCATAGATCCTTGATAGGCTTCTAGTATTTTTCCTGTAATTCTACCTTTTCCCTTTTCAACCTTTTAAGGATGATGATGTTAAAAAGCCCAGTGTCCACATGTTACTAAAACACGCCCACTGTGTCCTTGCTGAAGCAGGAGGAATAAAAGCTGCAGTACGAAGGCCGTTTATGCCTCTAGCAGCAGAGCGACACCTGCCAGCACCCACTTGGCTGTCTTCTCTTTGCTCTTCAGTCTGAAGGTCCAGACGTAGGTGGGGCCTCTGGCTTTGGTTTTGTACACAGGGCACTCATAGGTGTTCTTGGTTTCTTGTCTGTCCATGGGTATGGCTTTGGCAAAGATGACTGGCATCATGGATGTCAGCTCCTTAAGGCGAGCATCAACAAGTGCTCCTGACTGGATGTCCCATCTGGCACCTATGGCAAAAACAATGGTTATAACTGTGTGGCATGTTGGTACTGATGTTCTGTTTGATGCAATAAATGTTCCAGTTTTATCGTGCTTGTTCCTGTCTGTGGCTGCCTGTGGCATAGATTGCCGCCTCCTTGTTTAAGGGTTTAACAATTTTATAAGATCAAATTTTGTGCAAATTCAAGCCCATTATAGCAAACTAGAATGTCTCCCCCCACTTCATTTGTTTGGAACAAGTTCAGGTGGGTCATTCATATCCCCTACCCAGCCTTGAAATACTTGAACTATGGTATTTGTTTCAATGTATGTGTTGACAGGGCTGAGATGTCCTGTAGTGTGAATACACAAATAAAATTGGGGTCTCTGACATACTGTGATCCCCTCACAGCATCCACAGACATCTTAAGGGTTTGGGGACAGCTAGTAGTAAAATATTAGAGCAGAGTCATTGAAAACTTTCAAAAAGCAGGGTGCAAGGACTGCCAAGATGGCTCAGTGGGTAAAGGAGCTGCCCTTGAAAGCCTGACCGCCTAGGTTCCATCCTGGACTCCACATAAAAAGCAGGATGTGGCATCACACATCTATAGTGAGATGGGAGGTGGAGATGCGAATATCAAGCTTGAAGGACTGCTAACATGGAGTATATAGCAGGGCAGAAGCAGCCAGAGAGACCCTGCCTCCAGAACATGGTGGAGCGAGAGAATCCACTCCTCAAAGTTGTCTTCTGACCACCACACACACACACAATAAAAATAAAAAATTTTAAAAGAGGAGGACAGATTTTCAATTGACGATAGTGAAAAAGCAAAACAGTATGAATTCTGTTCAGTTCTTAAGTTATCCTGGGGTGGTAACACAAGATGATATATGCACAGAGTTTAAATGACACGCCATTACCCTGAATATCTCAAAGTCTGACTGACAGTAGACACCTTGGCATTTTGAACTGTCTGAAGAAAGAAGAAATGAGAAATAACTACCAGCATAGAGTTCTTATTCCAGTGAGTAGATGCTGTGGGCCAGCTTGTATCTAAGACAGTTCCACACATGCTCTTTGGGGTGACTCACCTTCCAGGTGGAGTCCATGGAGGTATGCACCTTCTCTCGGGGGGTGGCCATAATCTTCCTTTGTTTTTTTGGTAACGTCAACAGTCAAGCACATTCTGTCCAGTGGCCACTCATTTTTCCGAGCCATGGTCTGCATGATTGCTTTGAGAGCCAAAGGAAGAGGAATTGAAGAGGATAAAAACCTGTATATAGGCTCCCAGGAGCCACCAGTACACCATAGGTTAGACTGAGGCTGAGCAAACAGGCCTGCGGGATCACGTCTGGTAGCAAATTGGGGTGTGCTAGAGCAGCTGCAGCCATTTGCTTCTGTGTGACATTGGAGACGTGACAGACTGTAGCTCTGCATTAGGGCACACCATGCACCCCAAGCAGAATGTTCTCTAATTGCCACTTACACTTCAAAATGATTGCTTGGAGATTGGAGAGAAGGACAGGGAGAGTCATCATAGATAAAGCAAAGCAGGACTGTGCTGGATAGCTTTAGTGTCAACTTGACACACCTGGGTTGAGGGAGCCTCAATCGGGGAATTGCCTCTATTGGACTGGCCTGTGGCCATGTCTGAGGGGCATCTTCTTGATGAGTGATGTGGGAGGGCCCAGCCCACTGTGGGTCGTGCCATCCCTGGGCAGGTGGGCCTGTGTTGCATAAGAAAGCAGGCTGAGCAGGAGCCAAGGGAGCAAGCTGTAAGCAGCGTTCATCCATGGCCTGTGCTCCAGCTCCTGCCTCCAGGTTCCTGCCCTGAGTTCCTACCTTGGGCTCCCTGATGAACTGCATGCGACCTGGGAGATGTAAGACAAATAAACCCTTTCCTCCCCAAGTTGGTACTGGTCAGAGTGTTTTGTCACAGCAATGAAGAACAAACTAGGACAAGGACTATACCAACCACTCTACCTCTGACCATACCTGTTAAGAATGACTGCGGGTTGAAGAAGCCAGAAAGCCACACAACAGCTGGGAGGGCAAGGTCTTGTGTCCAAGTGTCAAGTTCTCGGCAACGCAAGAGGAGGTCATTAAACCTGGTTAATGGAAGGTAGGAAGAAATGAACTGTTTTGGAAAGTATCTTCCAGGAAGATATGGGGAGGGGCTAGCTTGGGTAGAGAGAGCATGGCTAATTAGGAAAACCCTTATCAAATGGTTTGCAGGGTGTTGTTCCTTTAAAGGATTAGGGTTCCTATTGAGATTCTATGCCTGCAGCCCCTTTACCTATCACCATTAGGAGAAGACAACGCTGGGGAATATGGAAAATTGCTCTTTATTCAGCTATTTTATTTAGATCCTCCTGGTGCTATGTGGTGACTGTATACAAAGATCATTTGAAAAGGGCTGACAAGTGCCACCAATCTGCAGGACAGTGTGGGAACACAGCAAAGAACAGTCAGCTTCGGGGGGGGGGGGGGGTTGCTGCTGCCGTCGTCATCACAGGACCAGAGTTGCCATGGAAGGTGATAGGCTTAGGGAAGAGTGGGAGACAGTGTTCTTCTATAAGTGATCATTACTTGAAAGGAGAAGGTAAATGTTTCTAAGGAAAACGGGCTGCCCTCCAGGGTCTGGCAGACACAGCTGTAGTTTTGTTATGGTGAAAATAGATGTTGGAGTTAAAAGGAATGTTAGGGTTAAAATGGTGAGATAGGGGACACCGAGGAAGTTTGTAAATGAGAGCTTGCAGCTGGATATGAGGCAAGCTGACCAGATAGGAAGGGCAGGACTTTTGGAAAACAAGGTGGGTCTTAGTAAGCTTTGGCTGATCCCCACAAAATGGCCCCTAAGAGAGCATACACAAGGCACTTTACCCTTTCTTGTGTCTAATTGCAACAGACTACATAACTTCTAATGAGCCTTCACTGATTTCAGGAAGACCACCCTGGATTCCCCCATAGACAAGGAGCTAATTATGAGATAACCAGGAAAAACTGCAATTACATCTTGGTGGCTGTGATAAACATTAACTTCCTGTAGGCAGTCAAGACAGGAGTTCACAGTAAACTGAAAGCCGGGCATGATCTGGGAACAAAGCAGAGTTAAATGACTAGCAAACCCCACCAAGGTTGGTGACTATTGGACCTAGCCAAGGCCAAGAAAGAATGAGCAGGGGTGACTATGATACATGACACCTCACTAATAGGGCAAGCGGTGCATAATTATTTCTATAGTTGGGCCACAGAAATGTGCACCTCTCAGTGGGTTGGATGGCTGAGAACTAACCCATCTCAATAGAAATTACCTCAGTCTGTCTACTTTCTGCTCTCATCCTGTGAAAAACCCCTAGACGAGTAGCTCAACAGCAATGCCCTCAGCTCTCCTCCCACTGTGTGCTGAGTCTTTATGGCTCTTAATAAAGTTTGTTTCCTCGTGACTTCCTCACTCCTGTGTGTGTCTGTGCCATTAATCATCATGGATAGGAGACAAGGAACTCAAGAGCCACTGTCAGAGATTGGCTTTTGTGACTTGATTGCCTTGCACTGTAGTCTCTGGGTAAAGTTTGAGAATATATGAAACACTGAAATAGGGCTGAGGGCTGCCAAAGAGGTGTAAGGGTGGAGGGTGCAGAGCAGAGCCTTTATGTGAGCACCAGCAGGGATCTGCAGGGGTGGGATAGGGGGTCATTGCGTATGCTTTCTGGGACTTTGGTCCAGAGGAAGCAGGGTTGCCTTTCTTGTCTCCCACCTAGCCCCACCGTGGCAGAGATTTTTGCCTAAATTTGACTGAATCTAGGCTGAGGAAGGGAACATCAAATGTTCATCTTCAGGCTTGCGGCACCATAAGGAAATTTTCTGTTAGCTTAGAATGTGGGCCTGTGACCTCATCCATAGTAAATTCTTTTAAAAAGGTTTAGGAGAATACTTCAAGATAAAAGGGAACAGTGTAGGCACTACACAAAGCAAAGAACAAGATTTCAGAGGGGCAGAAAAGCACCCCAAAATGTCCTATAGTGAAGAGAAAGCAGCCAAGAAATCTGAAGCAAACTAATGAAGCTCAGAGGGGGGCTGACTGAAGGGTCTTCAGAAAACTTGAACTTTGGCTGTGTTGGGGATGACACATGTATGTTACAATGTAAGAGACCTTCATTAGAGATGGTTCAGATAAGCACAGGAAACTTAAATCAAGTTTAAGAAGGCAAAGAAGCTAGGAAAAATAGAAATTAACAAGCACAAAGACTAGAAAAAGCCCAAAGTTGCCATTAACCATAAAACAACTAAATACAAATTTCTGGGTATGGAAAAATCAGGTTTTGTATATTTATAGCATTAGAAATCTATTAATTGTGCTCATTCCCCTGCTGGGGTTACTTGCTATAGTCTGGGAATCACTGTCCCATCCCCATGTCCACATCCATCCCACACAGCCAACACTTGGGTGCCTAGCGCACTATAGTAGTTAGTGTTCACTGTTAGCAGGATCTGGAATCCACTAAAATGCAAGCCTCCAGGCACACCTGTGAGAGATGATGTAGCCTCTGGGCATGCCTGTGAGGGATTCCCTGATTAGGTTACTTGATGTGGGAAGAGCCTTTCTGTGTGTGGCACCATTCCCTGAGCTAGGATCCTGGACTGTGTAAATGGAGAAAGTGAGCTGAGCACTAGCATCTGGTACTCTACTTTGTGCAGATGCATGTGAGCAGCTGTGATCTCTGTGTAATGTTGGATCATACCTGGATCTGTGAACTAAAATAAACCTTTCCTTAAGTCAGTTTTATCAAAGTATTTCATTACTGCAACAGAAAAAGAAACTAAAATGGGCAATCTCAATATGCTGTAATTCAGGATCTTCTAAATTAGATCTGATTCAGGATAAACGGAGAATCTCAGCATCAAAAAGGAATCAACATTGGACTGCAGAGATGGCTCAGCAGATAAGGGCCATTGGCTGCTCTTGCAGAAGACTTGGGTTCGGTTCCCAGCACCCACAAGGCATCTAACAACTATCTGTAACTAGTTCCAGGGGCTCCAATGTCCTCTTCTGACCTCTACAGGCACTGTATGACATGGGTGCACTTATATACATTCAGGCATAATACTCATACACATAAAATAATAACAATGAAAAGGAATCAACAGTCCTGTAACACTTTCTGAATTGTCTACCAAGGCCAAGAACAGTTGGGTGTAGTGCCAGCCTTCCACGGTCTGAACCTTTGCTCCTGGCTGAGTGAAGGGCATGACAGCTGGACAAACAAGTGGCTTCTATGACCCTTTAAATCTAGTGATAATCCAATGAAAAAGTTCTGTTTACATTTTTCAGGTGGAAAATCAAGACAGAAGAATCAGGTATTTTGTTGGAGAACAATGAGCAATTACCTGATAAGTCAGAAGCAGAATTTGAATCTTGTTCTGGCCTAATTTTGAACAGGTTTTTACCTTTGAAGCAAAATACCGGGGAAAGTCATATGAAATGGGAGTTTGCCCAGTCATGGTCAGAGAGCACCACCTACAGGTTTTCACAGTCTTAACAGAGAACACTAGCCCTACTCAGGATAATGGTAGACAAGGGCTACAAGGATGATAGCTTACCACTGGGCTAGGCTGAAAGTAGATGGGTAAGCCAGTTTGCTCCAAGTGTCTGGAACCCTGTCATAACTCAAGGCAGACTGCTGGCCTTCCACATCAGGAGATAACATCAGCTCTCCCTTGCACAGAGAGAAAAGGCCACACAATGAATATTTTCCAGTATGGTAAGGTCCCCTCCAGCTTCATTTTAAGCTTACCTTCAAACAAAGATCTAATTGTTGAAGTGACATACGAATTTCCCGAATAAGAATATTCATCCTCTCACATTCTTGGAAGCAAACAAGAACATAGGGGCTTCTATTTGAGTTCTTTTGCATTATCTCTGCCATGTTGAATTCTTCTGGAAGTTTCTCCAAAATGTCATCCAAGATATTCTTAACCTTAAATCATGAAAATATACTCAAAGACTTAATCTATTTCAGTTTTGTTCACAGTGGCTTCGGTATTTATTTATTTATTTATTTATTTATTTATTTATTGTCTTTTTGAGACGGGGTCTCCTGTAGCCCCAGATGGCCTGGAACTCACTGTGTAGACCAGGATGGCTTTGAACTCACAGAGAGATCCGCTTGCCTCTGCCTCCCAAGTGCTGGGATTAACGGCATGTGTCACCACGCCCAGTTACTTCATACTTTTTAAAGTCTCAGAATACCATGTGTGCTGGATAGCTTTAGTGTCAACTTGACACACCTGGGTTAAGGGAGCCTCAGTTGGGGAATTGCCTCTATTGGACTGGCCTGTGGCCATGTCTGAGGGGCATCTTCTTGATGAGTGATGAGGGAGGGCCCAGCCCACTGTGGGTGGTGCCACCCCTGGGCAAGTGGGCCTGTGTTGCATAAGAAAGCAGGCTGAGGAAGGGCCAGGGGAGCAAGCCAGTAAGCAGCGTTCCTCCATGGCCTGTGCTCCAGTTCCTGCTTCCAGGTTCCTGCCCTGAGTTCCTACCTTGGGCTCCCTGATGAACTGTGACCTGGGAGTTGTAAGCTGAATAAATCCTTTCCTCCCCAAGTTAGTATTGGTCAGAGTGTTTTGTCACAGCAATGAAGAACAAACTAAGACACCATGTAAGTCCCAAAGATGCCCACAACTCCCAGGTGGTGGGCCAGGTGGCATTGCCACCTGCTCAGTGCTTCTGTATCAGTGCCTATCAGCTCCCTCCATTAGATCCCAGTGAGTCAGGGAAGAGGCTAGTCTGCTAATTTGTAGTTTATTCACTGTTAGCACTTAGGGGTATAAGAAACATCACCAACCTAATGGCGTTTGTCTGTAAAGATAATGATCAGAGGAAGCAGAATGCATCATTTAGGTAATTTTAAGTCCACTAGTGAAAAGAAAAATCGTTTGAAAAGTGACATAAATCCAAAAGGTCTTTTAAATATGAGCTCAGTCCTGTAGCCGATGCCGCATGCAGCCTTCCCAACTAGCATATCCTAAAATTCCTGGAGCAATTTAGGTCAACTGTTCTTTTTAAACAAGGAAGCCTTTACCTTCTGTAATTGTTGCCCTGAAGAATGAAAGGTTTGTCCACTGGTGATGTGAGAATAGGCACATAATATTCAAATGTGCATGCTCTATGGACACAGCTTCACTGAGTTGGGAAAACCAATAACTGTCTAGAGGAGTAAGTGCTTGAAAAGCACTTGAACCGGTGCACATGCCTGTAAACCTAGTCCCTTAGAGGCTGAGGCAGGAAGGTCCTGAGTTCAATACCAGACAGCTATATAGTCAGACCCTGTCTTCAAGAACAAAAGTTAGAAAATAACATTAATGGGGGAAAAGTGCCTTTAGCCTCAAGCAGCTTCCTGTCTCTCTTGTTGGTTTCTTGGGTCACGGACAGTCATCTTCTGTCCTCCCGTAGGGTTCCAGCAGGTGACTGATCAGGTTTTGATGTAGATCTGTATCAGGTTATGATATAGATCCTGCTGCCTTCCAGATCTCTTGTGGATCAAATAACATACTTGCAAAGTATTTTCTTTAATGCCGTGTACCTAATAAATGGCCTTCACTATAAGCTGCCAGCCTGACTGAAGTGTTGAGGTAGCTTTAACTCACATGTTTGCAATTTTCTGGTTTCATGACTGGCTTCCTTCATGGAAAGGTGGGAAGCATAAAACCCCAACTCAAATGTCTGTTCTCCATCCACCTATCTATCAATGCATTAGCTCTTCCCACATGTATGGATTTTTCCTTGTTCATCTTTTTAAAGATGTAACTTTCATGTACCATGTAAAAAAGATATTTGTACTTAAGATATAACACATGACAACAAATTGCAGAGCTCCAAATGATAATGAATGTGCCAATGAATGATTTGAGTTCAAGAACTAATTGAAAAAGTTCAAGAAACAATACGGCCACTACCTGGGACCTCATTATAATTAGAGTTGAGTTGATGTTTAGCAAATGCCATTTGAACAACCTGAATCTTTGGCAATCAAACTCTGATTAATAATTTTGAGAGGAATAAGGACTAATTTATTGGGGAGAAATCAGCTATTCAGGTTTTAAATTAATGAGAAACGAGGTTTTAACAAGAAATGTCATTTTTCATTCCCATCATCCTAGGGTTATAATAAATCTTCAAAAAAAAATGATGCTACTCTCATACAACAATGTAAAAGCCCAAAACACATTAATAGTGAAGGGTCAGGGACTGGAGACATGGCTCAGTGCATACGAATGCTTGCTACACAGGCATGAGCCCTGAGTTCTGATTCCAGCACCCACATAAAAAGCTGGGTATGTCAGTGTGCATGCCTGTAACCTCAGCAGAGGGGGGAGGTGGGGAGACAGGAGGATTGCTGGGGCTTGCTGGTCAGCAGCCTAGCTCCAGATTCAAAGAGATCCTGTTTCAAAGAAGCAAGGTAGAGTTGTATAAGGCAGGACCCCCATGTCTTCCTTTGGTTTGCACATACGTACCACCCCACCACCACCACTCAGTGAAGGGTCAGCCACAGATTTGGAGAAGATATTAGTAATTCATATATCTAATCAAGACTATACATGCAGAATAAAGAGTTCCTACAAATCCATAAGAAAAAGATTGACAAAAGTAGGGCAAGCAAAGATTATTTCACATGGGTATATCCAGTGGCCAGGTGCATGTGAAAAGATGTTCATTCCATACAGCTGAGAACTGTAATATTAAAGGCTCCAAGAGATAGCTTATCTGTGACAAAACCTGAAGCAGGGCAAGTAACTGGAGACTCATACATTGCTACTGGAAGTGTAACTGATATAACCACTTGAGGGGGTTGTTTAGCAGTGGAATTAAAGCTAAATACTGTACCCATCTATGATCTGGCAACCCCACTTCTGAGCTAGAGAATGTAGTGTTATTAGCTCCTTTGGGAGTTAACATTTGTCTGTTGTCAGTTATAGGAGGATGGTTCAACACTGTGGTATTCAAAAAAGTGTAAGAGAAAAAAAAAAAACTAGAACCAACTTAGGTTAGCAGATAAGAATTGTATAAGAAGAATTGTTTATTCAGGGGCCAGAGAGATGGCTCAGAAGAGCACTGGCTGCTCTTGCAGAGGACCCAGGTTTGAATCCCAGCACCCACATGGTGGCTAACAATCATCTGTAACTCCACTTCCAGGGGATCTGACACCCTCTTCTGACCTCAGAAGGCAGTGCACAACATAGGTTCACTTATGTACATTCATACACATACGCTCATACACATAAAAAAAATACTAAGATATTTTTTAAAAGAATTGCATGTTCATATGGTAGAATACAAAGCAGGAATGGGCCGTCAGGACCTGGACAGCAGGGTGAATCTCACAGGGTGGAACAAAGGAACCTGCCAATAAATACTGCAAGCTTATATCTGAAGTTCAAAAACAGCTAAAATGTGACAATGGAGGTAAGGGAGTGAGAGGTGCACTTACTGACAAGAAGCATGAGTATCTTGGACAGTTGAGAGTGTTCTCTACCTCGGTCCAGGGGGTGGTTATATAACTCTTTGCATAGATAAGCATTCATAGAGTTACCTAAGATTAGTATACTTCCTTTTTAAGAAGAAAAATAATAAAAGAACAAGAGAGCAACTCCTACCTTGTCTTCTGTAGACTGCCCCAGCTCCTCACTGCTGACTGCATTCCTGGGTTGCATTTCTAGTAGAGTTCTGAAGAGAGTGTTGGATGTCACTGTTAGGAATTCTATTTCAGCATTGGGGTGGAGGCCGTACAGTGTTGGGCTTTCTGGAGGCAGCATGTCCTCTATGTACTGATGGTAACCTGAATAATCTAGGTAGGGTGGGGCTGCAAATCCTGGTGCCAGCATGAGTTCATCTTCAATCTTCAACCATAAAGAAACATTAGTTATTGCAAATCTCGGCAGGTATCATCCTCACTGCCTAAACACAGAACACTTAGCACGATTCTAGATAAGTACCAGACTCTAAAAATGCTTCCTAATCAACACTATACTTATGTCTGCCATCGGGCTACCTCTGAGAAAGAGTTGAAGGAATACACATGAATAATGTCCCTGCAGAACATTCATCAGCAGAAAACCTGGGGCAGGGTGATACACACACCTACAAGGAAAGCGTGAACACAGCTGTGCCATCACTGGCTGCTCATCAATGTTACATGCTTCAAGTTACTGATTCTCAAACATCCCCATCTCCTGAGAGAAAATCAAGATGCCGGGTCATTAATTTGCCCAAGTAGATATTTTGAGTTTAAACTTAATTCTGAATTCATTTTAATAAAGTCTGGCATGTGCTTCCCTAGTATTGTGAATATAGAATGCCTTCCCCTTACAAGCTCCACACACTGGAGGCTTGGTCCCCAGTTGATAGCACCATTTTGGAAGGTACTGCAAACTGCTGGATGTGGGGTTTAATTGGAGAAAGTAGGTCACTGGGGAGGGCATTTCTTTCAAGGGTATGTCTCTAGCTGTTTTGGTCTCTGCTTTCTGCCTGTCATGAGGTGAACAGTATTTCTCTGCCACATCCTTTCTCCCTGATTTTTCTGCTTCACCATGGTCCAGAGGCAATGAAACCAGCTGACCCAGGACTAAAACCCCTGAAACTATGAACCCAAGATAAATCTCTCCTCTCTTAGGTGTTTGCTCGGGCATTTTGTCATAGCAATGAAAACCTAACAGCCCCAGTGTGCGACACTTTTCACAGGGCTGCGTCAAATCATCTTGTGATACATATGAACTTTACAAACATAAAACACTATGTACATTTATTGAAAAACAGTATGTTCTGAATAACCACCATTCTATACTGAGTCAAATCAGTGTTACTGCCATAGGACTCTTGGCTACGCAGGGCAAAGTCTATGTCGTTGCTGTCAAGATCCATAGGCTGGGCCAGCTGCTCAGGACACAGTTGCCTGGTGAATGAAAGGCCACAGCAGTATGACAATTATTAGCCCATTTACTTCATGGGAACTTGAGGAGAACACGGGTACTTCATGTAGGGGGCTGTTTTCAACAAAGGTAATGTGAGCAGAAATAGCAAATCCTCTATACATTAGAAAATAGGTCTTCAAAATGTAGCCAAAGAAATTATGGACCTGAGTTTGTCCAGGAGAAACAGAGTGAAGTGCTCAGAATTCACTAATTAGCTTATTTCAGGATCCTCATCCCCACCACAACTGAACCCAAGTCCTCAGCACAAGCAGTAAGCGTTCTTAACCACTGAGCCATCTCTCCAGTCCTGTTCCTTCCCTCTTATACCCACAATCCTGGATGGCATAGAAAGCCTGTGAACTGAACGTTTAACTGCTGTCCATGAAGTCCTGAGCATCTGTTATATCTGACTCAGCATTTCATTCTGTAGCAGGAGGGTTTTCAAGTTATCTAACCCTTTGTAGTGCCAAAAATAAATAGGTGGCCCCAGTGATCAGGGGAAGGAATAAGTGGGATCCCTCCCATCCACACCACGCCCCCAGTGTCCCTGCTTGTTCTGTTTGGTTGTTTCATGTTTATGTATAAAGCATGATCAAAATTTAAATGTGATTTGACTCAGAATGACCCAAACTAAACTGTATAGGAGAGTTAAACATCATCAATAGACTGTAATAAGTTAAGCAAAAGAAAACTATGAAAACCCCACATTAGAATAGGCACATCCAAATAGAACTTTGTTCTCTACCAACAAGAACTTAGCCTTCTCTGTTACTACTGACCAGGCAGCTGAGAGAACTGTTAAAAGCTGCAGTTTAATTTGCCCTTCAAAGGAAAATTCCAAATGCAGAAAACAAAGCCTTGGGCTCTTGGAAATGTTAAATGGGCAGGAGTGTCTGTGGAACTGGTGGCTCCTCAAGTGGTCTGTGCTTTGGGGAAGATGACTAAGTACTCAGTTTACAAACTAGGGAATCAGGCCTTCATGTTGGATGAGGAGCAAAGCAAAAGACATCAGCAAACTAAGGAAAGGGCACCAGGCCCACAGCCAGGTAGACTAGTGCCAGTTCCCACCCTTAATGGCTTGGTTGCCTTAATAAATAACAGAATATGGGGCTGGAGATAGGGCTCAGTGGTTGGGAGCACTAGCTGCTCTTGCAGAGGACCTGGGTTCAATTCCCAGCACCCACATGGCAGCTAACAACAGCCTGTAACACCAGTTCCAGGGGATCCAGGATCCTTTTCTGACCTCTTTGGGCATTGTACAACACAGGTATACATACATGAAAGCAATACACTCACACACATAAAATAAAAATAATAAATAAAATATTTTAAAAAAAGAAACCACAGACTTGCCAGCCATGGTAGTGTGTACCTGAAAACCCAGTGCTTGGAAAGCAGAGACAGGAACATCATGAGTTTGAGGCTACATAGCAAGATCCTATCTGAAAACACCCACACCAAATAAATGACAGTCTTAGCTTTGCTTCAAACTTTTCATCAGTAAAACGGAGCTTATAATCACAGCCTGGCTGTGGTTATAAGAATTTACTAAGACCTGTAATAGCATGGCACAGAACAGGCTTTCTCAGATGTTCTCTCTGTGCTCTAGAGGCAAACATGGTTGTTTATGAACATCTTGATTTTCTGGAAGGAAAAACAAAACCTGAGGTCTGACTCTCAATTCCTATTTTAATGTCAAACAACTAAAGCTCGAAGAGCAAGGTTTAGTTTATACAGATAGGTGACCATTTTAACTTTAAAGATTTTGACTTACTCAAAGAGCTCTGAATCCTGATTCTGTGTGTGTGTGTGTGTGTGTGTGTGTGTGTGTGTGTGTGTTTTTAAGACTCATTCATTCATTCATTCATTCATCCATTCGTGTTTGGGAGTGTATGAACACATGGGTGTGCAGGTATTGGTAGAGGCTAAAAGACAGCATTCAGTGTTCTCCTTGATTATTTTCTGCTTATTCCTTTGAGGCAGGGTCTGTCCTTGAACCTGGCTACACTGGAGGCCAGTAACCCCCAGCATCCTACTGTCTGTGCCCCACAACCCAGAGCTAGAGTTACAACCATTTGCAGGTATGCCTGGTACTCATGATTGCAGAGCAAGGGCTCACTGCTGAGCTGTCTCTGAATCCTGATTCTTATTTGACTTTCTTTCCAATGAAGAGTTTTTAGGAAAAACTGCTTCTTGTTGATGGAGTCCTAACCAGACTTTTCCATTATGGAGACCTTTTTTTTTTTTTTTTTCACTTTGGGGTTGGGGGAGGGCTATTTTAGCAGGTATTCTACCATTTCAAGGAATTAACCTGCTCTAAATGATCATTTCTCCCAAGAACATAGAAAATGGCTAGTAAATGCATGACAAGATGTTCAACATCAGGTCTTCAGGAAAAACAAATCAAAGCACTTGATACAATTTTATCCCAATCAGAATGACTAGAATACAAAATGTAGATAGTAACTATATTAGTGAAGATGTGGAGGAAACAGAACCTTTATACACTGCTGGTAGAAAGGGTTTTGTGGTTTCTCCAAGCATTAACCATAGTCGCCAAATGACCCAACAATTCCACAGCCAGCATTCCCCAAAGAACTGAAACATAAGACCACACAAAATCTGTACACAAACCTTCCTAGCAGTATTAGCCACAATAATAACCCAAACCCAGAAACAACCCAACTATGTAGCAACTAGTGGATAAATAAATGTGGTATGTTTAATTTCCTAGCTCCCTTTCTAGTGCTGTGATCAGACACCCTGACAAAGAGCAACTAGGGGGAGAGAGGGTTTATTTGGCTCGGTTCACAATTCCGAGAGACAGTCCATGGTTGCAGGGGAGTTAAAGTGACAGGAACTTGAATATATATCTGCCTGTTAGTGCTCAGTTCTTTCTCTGTATTTATACAGTCCATGATCCTCTGTTCAGGGAATTGTGCCACTCACAGTGTTCAATGACCATTAACCAAGACAATCCCCCACAGATATACCCACAGGTCAACCTGATCTAGGCAATCCCTGTCTTCCCAGGTGATTCTAGATTGTGTCAAATGGACAATTAAAATTAATCATCACATTAATGCAATGAAAGATTTGGCCATTATAAGTAATGTGAAATTCTACACATGCTATGACGACCATAGAAAGCATTATGGGAAGTGAAAGAAGTCAGGCACAGAAGACAACTGAATGACTGTATTCAATTGAATGTTCTGAGTAGGGAATGTAAAGAGACAGAAAATAGATTAATGGTTGGCAGGGTCTGGGAAATGTGAAGTATTTTGTGTGAGCCTTGGGGAAGAGGGCACACAGTGTGACTACTAGAGGGTATGGGAATTTTCTGGGAGTGACAAAAATGTTCTAAAATTGTGATGGTCTGTATCACTATGAATACATTCAATTTAAGAGCTTTGAATTGTACAATTTCAGTTGGCAAATTGGCACTCAACTGTATCTCAGTCAAAGTTTAAGAATCATGTTCAGACAGAATCAAACCTCCACAACATGATTTCATAAGGATATGAAATCATGTTTGCAGGAATCAGACAGGCACGTTGACAGGTGTGGACACTGGAAACTGGGAAAACCAGCATCCTGCCCACTGTGCTGACTCAACAGGGATGTTCTTTCTTTCCACACTTTTCTGGAATTCAGTGAAAACCCAACCTCTTGACTACCTCTCCAAATAGTCTTGGTAATGACAAGAAACCCCTCTTTCACTGCAAGTCTAAGCAAATGCATTTACACAGGGCCTTTTGGGTCCAAAAAGCAATGACTCAACATACTGCTGGGAGTTTCAGGAGTTATTGAGGGTTGAAGTCTATGGCCAGGTTTTCTTTTGAGCTCAAAAGTACACTAGCAATTTTCTAGACAATGCTTTTATTTTACAAATAAACCAAGGCACAGGCAAGTTCTGCACAAAGCTG